GGTGGGTGGGAAGGGTGGTGGATGGGTCCAACAAACCCTGGACTTTCACTCAGGAGGCCGGTGCTTGCTTGGGGAACTGCCCATTGGTCCGACAGCTCATCGTTCCGACCATATTAAACTCATTGTTCCGAAGTCCCGTTGTTCCGAAATCATCATGATGTCCTGTGGTTAAGGTCTGGTTAGGTTTAGGCACAAAAACCACTTGGTTAGGGTCAGGAAAAGATCATGGTGTGGGTTAAAATGAAAAAGAAAGTGGCAAACACATAAGCCGTGAGCCTGCTTCGCCTCAAGCCTTTCCCAGCTGACCCAGAGCTGGTTGCGGCGCACCATACACCCGCCGCGAGCCGTTCAGCACCGCGGACAGTCGGACTAATGGGATGTCGAACCAATGGGCTGTCGGACCAATGACATGGACCCGAAATACTGCGCCGTTGACTTTCAGACCAGGTTTTTGTTGGTCACTGGCGCATTTGCTTTTTACGTCATCTAACTAGCAACGCGCCATGACTGCGCCTGACAACTCCTCATTTTTAGACCAACACACCCAGAGAGGTGCAAGTTCATTTGCTAGTTAGACGACGAGGGCGTGAAAATGACAACTGCGCCTGCATCTAAATAGCAATGACACTTGCGACATGGATTATGCGCCCTCCGCCGTCCGCTTTAGACCATCTAAATAGGGCCCTCCGTCTTACCTGCTGTGAAGTTAATTGAAGAATAGACAACATTCTCTCCTGGCTTTGTCCTTGCTTCTTTCTTTCTTCCTGCTGTCAGTCCTGTTTTGGAAAAAAAGAAATTGTTTATTCACAAAAATACATTTGAAATCAAATGTGAACTGAATATGCAGCCCGTTCTTATTCTGAAGTCATCAGATACGTCCGCTTTGTCACTGATATCTGTGTCAGACACCGATGCCAAAAGACATCTTTCGTGGAGGTATGATACGCAGCCGGTCATTGTCAGTGTGCAACGAAGTTGGACATAACCTTTCATGGTTTTATGATAAGCTGCTGGTCAGCTGGACGGCACTCGTTCGTAACGCAGCCGGATGGCACCTGTTGCAGCGATATGATACGCTGGTGGATGGCAGAAATGCTACTGGTAATGACGTAATACAAGGAGCTCGAAACTCCCCATAGGGTGGGTGGGAAGGGTGGTGGATGGGTCCAACAAACCCTGGACTTTCAGTCAGGAGGCCGGTGCTTGCTTGCCAAATATGACGTCCAAGGTACTCTGGGTGTGTTGGTTGTTGACATTCTGGGATGCCGTGTCAACTTCAGCCTGTTACACGCACTGTCTGTTTTCAAAATACACTTCTGTTTTCACAGGAAATTTACCGTTTACATCTCTCTTTCAAAATAAATGCACTATGTCAGTACAACAACGTGACAAATTTTTTTACTTCCAGCAACTAATGCACATGGTTAGGTTGAGGAAAAAAGAAGGGGGTTTGGCTTTAGAATCTTACGGGACATGAACACTGGCCTCCTGGGTAAAAAACCCCCGCCTTAATCAGACTTTCGCTGCCTTAACTTTCGTTATTGTCCTTTCCCCCTGATGCCATGGAGCACCGTTAAACTATAACAGCAACCGGCCGCGTATCATGCTGACATTAAAGGACTTTGAAGTGAGACTGCGTTGGTCACGGTCTCCCAGAACAAAAACAGCAGATGCAGAAGGATACTTTGCGCGTAATATATAGATGTGAAAGGCAATAGCAAAGTGGTGACATGTGACAACTTTGGAATGAGAATTGCTTGGAATAAGTTACTTTAGGGTCCCTCTGTGGCAGTCGATCTATAAAAGATCAAGTTGACCCTACTCTCGTGCCATTTATTAGAACATACACTGCACTCTCTCTGTACACCACATTTGGGTTCACAGAAACAGTCTGTTTTCTTTATTAGTATAATGAAAACATTACACATTACAACAACAGTTGTACAGTATCTTTGTATATTGTTCTTTCAGGGTCCTCACTCCCTAACTCCAAATGTTTTGATCAGAGATGAACAATAATATTGGTACATCATCTGTATCGGCCAATATCGGCTTTAAAATGAACTATCAGGACATGCTTTCTCTGAATTTTCACCATGAATAAATACTACATACATTGAAAAGGACTGAATTTCATTTCTCCATCTGCAGAATATGATGTTGATTCCACTACAGAAGAGACTTGATGATCACTAAAATTAGGTGGGGAAAAAAGTGGATATGTCAATATCAGTATCAGTTATAGATCAAATGAGTTGTTATATATTGGCATATCAGATATCGGCAAAAAATCCAATACTGCACGCATGTATGCACATGTAGATATTGAACGGAAATCTTTCATCTTTGTTCTGTCAAACGTCTTGTATGTAGTTGGCTAAATAAAGCCTACAGAGACGCCCTTCGTTTCTCTCTGTGGTTTTCTCATGTGGTTTATAAGTAAGAGGATCAAACTGTCACTTGCATCTATACGTACGTGATAGTAACCGTTTTCAACAGACAGCTGGAACATATTTTCTTAATTTAAGCCCAATGAGTCTCAATCATTTCTCTTTTCAGCATTATGTGAAATCTATTCACACCCATTTGGCATGAGAAACTTGGAAATTGGTGAAACTTAAAACTTTTTTGGCCTACAGCATTGTTAGCAGCTCTGCGCTAGCAGCACAATATCAATCAACATGCTGATTCAGAGAATGTATAATGTTTACCTTGTTCACCGTTTAACAAGTTAGCATGTTGACACATGCTGATAGCACAAAACAAAGTACAAAAGCAAAGTATTGGGCACAGCAATATTCTGACCTGATGGCAGAGCAGGATGAGAAGTTAGGAGATCAAAACAATTTGTCCTTAGAAAGTGTCACAAATGTCTGAAGCAAATTTTATGGCAATCCATCAAATTTTGTTTAGTCATTTCACTAAATACCACAGATTTCAACCTGATGGTGGCGATACAAGAAACTCAGAGGATCACCAGAGACGCTAGGATACATTGTCCAGGAAACACGAATATTTTCAACATTTTTTTCCCAATTCAAGCTGGAAGATATTTTACAGGATTTTGTAAAAACATTGACCTGCTGGTGGCGCTACAGGAAAGGTCAGAGGATTACAGATGCTCCCAGTATTTATTAAGATATTTCAGTCTGGATCAAAATGGTGGCCCAACTGACCGATGGATATTTCCATCCCCAGCCAGCAAAATAACTGTAGAACGTAATGGTGAATTTTGCCTTCATGTCAATTCTGAGTCATCTGGAATCTTCTGGTACGACAGAAGATGTTGCACTATGAACTTGCTGTATACTTCTTTAGTAAGGATCTGAATACATGTTAAGTAGAAATAAGTAAGTACCTTTTTGCTTCCATTCCAAAAGCGAATATGTGGCATCGTGTGGATCATCCAAATCCTTACCAGCTGTGACGGAAAATGACAAGGGGCGGCAAAACAATAGAAACACTCCTACCATTCAGCAGCACCACATACTACATCCTCTGATATGATCATATATAAAAAGTTTGAACGAGGAACAAAACAGAATCATATACCTTTCTCCTTCTTTGGTTTTTTGACAACAGCATATGTTGCCTGGTGTGGATCAACGACATCATCACCACCCGGGACTAAAACAGGAAAAAAATGAAATAAAAATAAATTAAGGTGTTTTGCATATGAAGCATTTTATTATACTTTTCCACATACAACTGAATTTCTCAGATATCTAAAAACAGAAGTGTTGCATCACAGAGTTGATGTGGTTTTGCACTGCAAAAATGGAAATACCAGAGAAGTAGATAGCAAGTTAAGATAACAATGTACCTTTTCCCCTTCTTGTTTTTTGGACAACAGCATATGTTGCATGATGTGGATCAATTGAACTTTCACTTCCTGGCACTATAACATAAAAAAGGAAAAAAAATGTATTATGATGCTGTATTTTATCAAGACAAAAATGTAATACTAGACTTAAATTCCTACAACAGGGAAGGTGTTGTTTACGTGGCAGAAAGTACAGTATGTACATGTGCACTATTATCTTGTACATAAGATATAGTATCTCTTACCTTGTCTTTCGGGGATTTCATAAGAAAGTAATGGTGGATTAAAATCATTTTCCATGCCTCCATTGCAAATCAATGACAGTAATGTAAACTCTTGTCATCATCTTTACTATATAATGACAAAAACTGTCTGTGTGTGTGTGTGTTCCATGTTTTTCTCCTCACTGACTTGGTCAATCCATGTGAAATTTGGCACAGTGGTAGAGGGTCATGGGAGGATGCCAATGAAGCAATATTACATCAATTGGCCAAAGGGAGGCGCTATAGCAACCCATTGAAATGTCAAACTTTGAATGGGCATATCTCATGCCCCGTATGTCGTAGAGACATGAAACTTTGCACAGAGATGCCTCTCCTCATGAGGAACACATTTGACTCAAGAACCCATAACTTCAGCTTATATAGATTTTCCGCCATTTTGAATGTTTTGAAAAACACTTCAAATGGATCTCTTCCTAGGAAGTTTGAGCGATCTGCATGAAACTGGGTGAACATAATCTAGGGACCAATATCTAAAGTTCCCTCTTGGCAAAAGTTGGAAAACTTACTAAAACTGAGCTTCTATAAGGCAATGAATATTGCGGAGGGCGTGGCTCATCACATAAAGGTGTATAACATCTCAAGGGTTTCACCCATCACCACGCAACTTTGTAGGCATATGACCACACATTATCTGAGGGGACCCCTCCATTATTGACCCCATCAAACAAAATGGGGGCGCTAGAGAGCTCATTTCTTATCTAGGCCTAACCGCCATATGGATTTTTACTAAACTTGGTAGATATGTAGAACAGGATGCCTCAAGGTGACTGGAGAAATTTAACTCTAATTGGCAACTGGGTGGCGCTATAACAACAGAAAAATGCTTCAAAATGGCTAAAATGCGACCGATTGCTGTGGCTCCCCCTGTGGACCAATGTTGGTGTTGTGTTGTTTGATGATGGGTTTTTTTGTGTTTTTTTTTCAAGGGCTAGCTGCACCTTTCCCATGTGAACTACCAGTGCGCCCCACTTTTAAGTCAATACAACATATAAACACTTTAACTATCTGCCTTTCAACGTGCTACCTCAACTACTAATGTACAGTTTTATTCCACTAACTATCCCACTATTGGCAATGGTACTACTGTACTTTCAATAAAGCAATCGTACTATCAAATTCACAAACACTCTGTCTGAATACATTGCTCTTCTTAATGGGTTCAGTTGACTATTGGATCTGCAATTTCCTATGACCTGTATCCCAAACACACACCATGTGAAACTGTACGTGGGCAACTGTACTCAATGGGTATGGACTAGTTGGATGACTAAACTGTCACATTCTTTAGTTAGTAAGTAAAAAAGCTGGCCAACAGGCAAGTTATTAAGAAGGGTTCTGCCTAATACCTTAATGGTGATTGAGAACATTTTATTCAGCTTTCACCTTTTTTGCTTTTCTAGCATCAAAAATGACTTCTCTCTAAAACTGAACTTTAAACCTCACTTTAACCAGGTGTGGTTACCAGGTGTGCAGCAGCTTTGATTTCAAATAACTTTAAATGCAGTTACCTCTGGTGGTGCTCCCTTCACCTTTGTGTATCCTACAATATAGTACTCCCAGCACCAACAGCAGCAGGGCAACCAGTAAAACAGTGCCGACAATCCACAGCAGAGTGTGGAAATTCCGGGGCTGACTCTGGGGGCGACTGGTGGGTTGAGTAGGGGGAGGGTCCATCTTTTCTTCAGGTCCCGAAACATTCTTAAACCCTAAAGAAAGTACATACTTATGCAGTGTTTTGATCCTGATTGGAAAACTTTTATGTATTTGCACTCTCTGTACACTGCTCAGAAACATTAAGGGAAAACTTAATGGTCACAGTATCTGTCTAGTTAGGAAGCACAAGTGATTGCGAATCAGTTTCAGCTGCTTTGGTGCAAATCAAAGTGACATCAGGTGCAATTGAGAGGCAAAAGCAAGACACCCCCCATAAAGGGAATGGTTTTACATGTGGTGTCCACAGACAGTTGCTCTCTCCTTATCCTTCCTGACTGATTCTGCTCTAGTTTGGTCTTCTACTAGTGTCCTTGGCACTACTGGTAGCATGAGGCTTAGCACGGTAGCACGGGGTATGGTTGAGTTGCCGGCTGCTGGAGGAGGGAGGGGGAGTGTCTCAGCCGGTGATCAGACAGTGGGACAGAATCAGGTAATCACAGTCAAACCTTAAAAGGATGCTGGTAACCTAGTTCTGGTTTCTCTCTTGCAGTAGGCTGGGTCCGGAAGAGAGTGGACGGTAGAGCGAGAGAGAGAGAGAGAGAGAGAGAGAGAGAGAGAGAGAGCGAGCCGGAGCTGGAGCTGGAACCGGCTTGTGTGTATATGTATGTGCTATGTACAAGCGAGAATAAAAGATTTTACAGCGTTAAGTCGACTGCCTTCCCTCTGTACCCGTTCGTATGAGTGTGTGACCTCACAAAGGGCATCAACCCAGCAGCAGGACCAGTATCTGCTCCTTTGTGTGAGGAGGAACAGGAGGAGCACTGCCAGAGCCCTGCAAAATGACCTCCAGCAGGCTACTGGTGTGCATGTTTCTGACCACACTGTCAGAGCGGGGGACATTATGTATCAGTGCATCTGACGCCGCCAAATACCGTCATAGACTGTCTCACTGATGCCCTGATCCAGGTCTTGAAGGAGATCCCCAGGACACCATCTGGCAACTCATAAGGAGCATGCCGAGACGATGTCAGGAGGTCATACAGGCAGGCTTGGGCTGTACACACTACTGAGTCACATGTTGGATCAGCCTGTGATTTTAATTTTTTACTTTGATTTTTGGTGTGATTTTGAATCCAGCCCTCAGTGGGTTGATGATTTTGGTTTCTACTGACTGTTACGTCATTTTGTTTTCAACAAATTATACAATATACATCAGTAAAGATTTTACACTTGAATAATTCATTCATCAACATCTGATATGTAATTTAAGTCTTCTCTTAATTTTTTTGAGCAGTGTATTGGCAGTCTTCTCACTTTGCATAATAATTGCTGTAAAGCAATTTCTCTTGGGATAAATAAAGATTTATCTGATGTTATAAAGCATTTTATTTATTTTATTTCATCTAACATGCAAAAACAATGAATGAAGTGTATACTTAGGTACTTAGATATGAAACACTGGTATGTCTCACCTCTGACAGCCAGCCGACTCTCTGGTGATCCTCCAGCTCCAGAGATGTGACACTTGTAGAGTCCTTCATCAGATGTAGAGACATTATAGAGGGTCATTTTTCCTTTGTATTCGGTCTTAATGCGGAGCCCATCTTTGTAGAAATCAGCTGCGAGGTCATCAGGAGTTTTCTTCTTTTTACAGCTCAGAGTCACAGTGTCTCCCTCCATCACAGGCAGAACAGGAGTCTCCAGGATCACTGAACCAGCTGGACAATGAGATATTTAATGTTAAACATAACATGGCTGTGAGGATGAGGACAGGTTGGGCACTGAATCAAAATTTAGCTGGATTCATAGCAGTTGCACATTTCAGGTTAATATTTTTTGACATTTCAGCAGTCATATTAACCTAATGATGCATATTTTTAGGGACCTCGGCCAACAAGCTGGAATTTGACCCCCTAAACATGCTCAAAAACTCATCAAAATTGGCACGCATGTCAGGACGGGTGAAAAAATTGATAAAATGAAAAAAATAACCCCTGAAGTGCCAAAATGGGCTCTCTAGCGCCACCTAGCCTCCTAGGCACACTAAAATGGCCGCTGCGGCCCATAGGAATGTCGTAGAATGATCCAACCAAAACTGGCTTGTTCATCTCATCAAGACCTACAAATCACGCGCTGACACCCCTGACCTAAACCCAACAGGAAGTGAGCTATTTGCCCTTTCAAAGTAAGATTTTGCCTCAAAAAATGCTCTTTTTCAAACTTTTTCAAAAAACATCTTCTCCTACACCATTTATCCTATCGGCTTCAAACACACATGACAGCTAATCATGTGTGTTTGAAGCTAACAGCTGCTAATCAGATCTTCTGTATAACTTTGTCATTACTCGATCGGTTTGGATTTTATGGGCTCTTACAGGTGACGTGTTACAAAACCTCCTGATGATTTTCGCGCCACCTAGACACACTAAAATGGCCGCTGCGACCCGTAGGAATGTCGTAGAAAGACAAAACCAAAACTGGCTTGTTCATCTCATCAAGACCTACAAATCACACCCCTGACCTAAATCCAACAGGAAGTGAGCTATTTGCCCTTTCAAGTTAAGATGTAATTTTTCAAAAATTCTCTTTCTCCAAAAATATCTACTCCTACACCGTTTATTGTATCGGTTCTTCTCTTCTCAGTTCCAGGGCATCAAATATGGCAGCTTGGTATGTGGCCATTTGTTTCTGTTCTCAGTGAATAATGCACCTTAAAACAGCGTACAGCGTTTGTTGGACCCATCCACCACCCCTCCCACTAACCCTGAGGGACTTTCTTTGTCTATAAATAACATTGTTGTCGAATGGTGTTTCAAATGAACTGAATTTGCTGAATTTGAACTGAATTACTGACATCGTCCGACAACGTATCATACCGCTGCGAACAGATGCCTGTTTTTCGTCAGTGTCTCATGCGGAAATCAAAAACCAAGCAGCGGTATTTAACAATTTAGGATTGAGAACAAGTTGGATTTTCAAAGTTTTTTCAACCACGTATCATAGTTACTGACGTATGTAATGTGACACAGTCATCAAGTATCATACTTGTTAAGCTACTGTAAAAAATGGTTATTTTAACCCAAACCATGATCACTTTTCTAAACCTTACCAAGTTATGTTTGTCACTTGAACCTTGTTTTGTTGCTTAAACCTAAAGTAGTTTTGGTACCAAAACCTGCATTTCCTGTTAAAACAGAAGTTTATATGACAAGACAATGTTGCAAGTAAGAAGCAGAAAATAGGACAGAAGCTGGCACATCCAAAATTGATGCTAGAGGGGTACATGGAGCATGTGGGATTGAAGCACAGGGTCACTGACCAAACTGCCATACCTGACAAGTTGAGAGTGAGAGCATGTTGCAATATCACTCTTCTTTGGGCTGCTTACAGTATTATGTTATACTTGCTATGTCAAAAAGATCAGATTTAGACAAATAGAGTGGAATAAGTATTGATTTATGAGCTAAACACACCAGTGATAGAGATGCTGAGAGAATTGCTTCTCAGTCCATCTCCCGCCTCACACCAGTACGCTCCACTGTCTGATGAAAAGGCAGGACTGATGGTGCCAGATCCTGCTGATGGCACCCAGTTAGAGATGTTTGTTGGAACGATATTCTCCAGTGTCCTCATCACGCTCCATTCAGCCACGCAGTCAAACTCACAGGTAAAAATGATGGACTCATACTCAAAAAACTGCAGTCTGTTTGGGAGAATACAAGGAAAACCTGCATTTAGGACACAGAACGCAAAAGTTAACTTCTTAAACTCTCAAACAGAAATGCATACAAAATTAACATATTGGTATCTTTTCCATTAAGATAGCTATTACCATGGTAATGTGCTATTAAACTGGATTGTGACACTCCGTGACATTTATACTGCAACACCTTTTGTGTCAAACATGTATAATCTCTGGTGAGAGACCAAAGTTACGCACACACTTCAGTCAGTCTGTAGACTTGACATATGGCGTCGCTTGTGCAAAAGTTGTTTTTTTTAAGTGCAAAGTAAAACTACTGCAGCTTTATGTGCCTCACAGGCACAGCCTGATTGGCAGAGCACATGTATTCAAACGTCAGTTTTCTGCTCTGCAAATGAGTGTGGCCAGTCTGTGGCTAACAATATGAAAGCAACAGTGCATTTGAATTAATATGTTTTTATTAATATTGTATCAACATGAAGATTTTTCATGAAAAAGTGCAGCTTACCATCTTTCGGAGGACAATGACTGTTGTGAACTTGTGCAACCACAACCATCAACACATTTGTCACTGGAGAGACAAAGAAAGAGCTGTGTGTCAGACACAGATGAATTTTACATGTCAGATCATTTCTGTTGGGAAACTATTTGCACCAGTGCTGCATAAGGTTAAATATTATCAGCCCCTCGCGATTGAATGTTTGTGTCGGTTAGGAAAATACAAATGATTTTAGTAACTGTGCATCACAATTACAGCAGCACTAACAAAAAGTGTACAAAAGACACAGTCACAGATCCATATCAGTTACAGAATTTCTGCTTGATTAAACCTATTGCTTAAATAGCTCCCAAATTCAGCTTATAAATTACTTTTTTGTGAAATCTCAACAGGAAAACAGTCAGTACTCACACAGTCCGATGCAGAGAGCTGTGACCTCCATTATGTCTCGCCGCTGACTGTGTGAACATCACACTGAATGACAGACAAAGTGAAATGTAGGTGAGAACCTCCTCTTCCTGTGCAGCTTATTTTTGGCGTTGCAACAGATAGACATGTCTGATATATGTCTGACAAAGAGACATGTGAGTGTGAAGCCACAAAATATAAATAAAAAGCTGTCAGTGCAGAATTAAAACCTGAGTATGTGTGAAGTACCAAGACCTTTCATCTTTACAATGGGTGTGTGCAGTATGAGCAGAGTTAACAACATATTAGGCTGTTTCCACATTTAGATGCTCAAGAGGGGACTTCTTCTCTTTCATTGTAAATCCCCAAAACAACATACTCAGGCAACAAAGCCCTCTAGTGTTCATAGTAATTATGACTCTGGTGCATCAGAAGCAAAGGAGGAAGTAGAAGGATGTTATTAAGGCGCCACAAAGTGTGAAGAGGAAGGAGGTCAACAATGTGTAACATTTTATGTTCCAGCAATTTACCTTTTGAAACGGAAAAATATTTACAGATTCTGGATGTTTCATTTTGGGAGAAGGAGTAAAAAATACTGCACAATTTCTGAGAAAGCATTATCACACATTATTCTTCAAAGCTGAGTATTTTTATATAACTTAAAATATGTCTGGAGGAAATGTTTAAAACAAGTCAATTAATGTGCTCCCTGCCTGGCCAAAATCTGCTGAGTATTAAATGATTAACTGAGTCTGGAAGTCAGTGTGTGTGAGGCTACATATCCTCAACATTATGTAAAGCAGCAGCAACAGGAAATGTTGGGCTGCAGCTCTGATACAGTTGTAAAAGTGTAAACGGTAAGGCTGATATCAGTTGGGTAAGATTTAGAGTTGTCAGCATTAAGGTGTTAATTGTGATGCAATTAAGGTTCGTTAATTTTCTCATGCTGCTATTTTTGCCACCGTCAGTCTTTCAGAGGCTATAGATGGTTGAGTTTTAAAGAGATGACAGTGGTACCACATGAAACCAACCATGTTATACCAGCTTCACAGTAAAGGAGAAAAAAAAAGCTCAAAATTTGGAGAGGGAAAAACAGCATGGCCATTTTCAAAGAGGTTCCTTGACCTCTAACTTCAAGATATCTGAATGAATATAGGTTCTGTGGGTACCCACGAATCTCTCCTTTACAGACATGTCCACTTTATGTTAGTCCCATAAAGGTTCGGGCACAAACTATGCACTTTTTGTCATGCAGTGTTTATGACACATTTATAGAAACTTGCCACACAGCGTTGAGCTGCATCTCAAATTAACCTTCAGGTTTACAGCTTCCAGGTGATATATTCCACCTCTCTGTAACATATACTGCAGAGCATTCACTCCTGCAGAGCATTCAGGACATGGGAGGGACTGAAAAAATGTCATAATTTCATCTTTGTGACACCAATTGTCTCCATGTCTCCTTTTCTGTCTCCTTTCTCATGGTTAAGTTGAACTGGTCCTACTCTGCCCTCTGCAGGAGATCAGACACTTTCCATACATCTCATTAAGATTTTGATGCCATGTAACCAAGGTGGCATGGAAATTACCTGATGTAACTTCCAAACATGTTATGATACAGTAACCATATACCTCATTGTCAGAACGGTCAAAGTCCTTGCGAGGCTTTTTACAACTCATTATTTATGACTCATTGCCTCTTACTCTCTTACTTGTTGCTGCTGCCAAGCACAAAGTGAAAGTTTAGACATGAACATGATTTGAGGCTATAACAGGCTGTAAAACTTGGTGAACACACTCTATCTAATTTCTAGACCATGGTTAAAGTGCAACATATTTTATTTGAGGACGTTGACTGAGCAGCTTGTTGGTGAGCTGAAGCTTTGATACACACGACAGGTATGAAGACTTAAACAGAAATTATTCTCTTATACATTTGTTAGTGAGAAGTTGGAATTACATAGCAAGGTTTTTGCAAAATATGAGAGGTTAATTGCACCAGGAATTGTAACTGGAATGGCAATAATGCGTTTCCTCATTTGAAATTTCTAAAAATGGAATATTATCCATTGTGAATCATCAGTAATTTTGGAAAGATTTTGAATAGATTGAATGTCAATTCCTGGCTGTACTTGAAACTTTAGATTAAAGTACTTCTCAAATTCCTTTCACTGCAAATGCAAAGCACAGACAGGTACAAGCGTACCTTTATAATTGTAGGACATATACCCACACACAAAAAAAAATCCTAACACTTGGTTGAAGGAGTTTGAACCAACTTGTAAACCATTTGCTGACTAACTTAAAGCTGCATTAATTCACAATTTATGCAACAAATGGAAAAAAAGTAATCAAATGACTATTAAAATTTAAAGGTAACTAACCTCTTTAGGATCACATTTATGGTTCAATCTTTACAGCAGCAGCTGGCATCCATTTACAGAAAGCTTCGATAAACCTACCGTACAAAACCTGTCCAGCACAAACCAGCAGAAAGACAAACAGACATGAGTTGGACAAGAAAAATGAATAATATAATTTTGATTTATTCATTAATTTTTCCTTTTGGCTTTTATTGAAGGACGAACTATCTTAACATTTTGGGTCAGTGCCGTAGCTTCTCTTTTATTGTTGTTGTTTGTTGATGTGCTTGTCATAATGCATAAATGTAAAGGTATCTTTAAAACGCACCATAACCTATTTTGTGTGCATTTAAGGGTCAATCAAAAATCATCAATCCTCCTGGATATGTTTATTTAATCTGTTACCATATTTGATCATATTTGATTATAACCCCTCCATAGGACTCTGGGCCTTTTTCTCTTTTTCTCATGTCTGTGCTTTTTCTTTATGTGTGTCTTATTATGTTTTGTAAACTGCTGCAATTTTGGCCAGGCCTTGCTCGTAAAAGAGATCTTTTGATCTCAAGCAAATCTGCCTGGTAAAATAAAGGTTAAAT